GTCATCCCAATGGAAACTTTTACTTAGATGAAAGAAGAATTATATTAGCATGTAAAACCTTCAAGCTTAAGTACCTACTCTTCTGTAAGTATTTGTCTGAAAGAAAATCGCTCGAATCCATTGAGCTGAAAATCTTACATGAATGTCGACCACGTATATGAATTGAAAGAGTTAAAATTAAACGTAGCATAAATATAGCCGTAACGTAAAGGCAGTAAAATATCTGAACTAGTCTTAAAACGAGTTAACATGTATAAAAATGTAAATTATCTGATTGTCGTTAATATGGACAGATTAGGGACCATGTACATGCCTCAACCTACAGTTTCCAAGTCCGGTAACGTACTCGTACTTCTATGGTGTTTTGGGTGCCCAGTTGTTCATGGGCAACGCTTTTTACCATCAGTATACTGTTGTTTACCCGAGCGTACGGCGCGTCGCGTTCCGCGTGCGCCTCAAAGAGCCATCAGACCACCACAGATGGGGCCCAATACGGCCGATGCCGATTCGGAGTCACGGAGAACCTAACGGGTAACCGGGGCTCCGACTCGACGTGCAGGAGAAGGAACGGGGTGGTTTTTAGTCAGTAAGAGTCTGACACTCCCTCCCGCCTCACCCAGGCGGGAGCAGTCATTCGATGATTTTCCCCCCTTAAAAAAATACTGTTGTTTGCCTCCATCCATTAAATAGAAAACCAAAACCCGACTTAATAATACTGAAGAAAAAAATATGGTAGGTACATTAGGTTCATGTAAGTAGGAAAATTTCATGTTATAAAGATAATAATGTATTCTAAGATTCTAAGAATAGTACATAGACTTATTAAATAAAGATCCTCACATAAATAATCCATGTTTGAAATATACTAAACCAGATTTTTTTTACTAAAAAGCTTTTCTTGTTAAGTTCGTAAAACGTTGATTAAGTTGACTGGATCCTAACAATTTACTGATCCCCGGGGCACCTAAACACCGACATCGTTTAGGATTTACATTATACAGACTACGGTGATTGGAGTTTGTAGTGGAGCCGCTTTAAATTATTGTCCTTTATATATAAGTTTTTTTTATGGTATAAGACGGTAAACGAGCGCTTTTTTAAAAATTAATAATTGGATAGCTATGTAAAATAATGACGTTAATTTTTACACGTAATTTTACTTAGATTGTGACAGTGAACTAAAAATATATTTATTCAAGTGTACAAACAACGAAGGGAAGGTGCTTGTTTAATAATTTCCATAAATTGTTTACGGTTTTTATATCAATAGTTTTAAATGTAATAATTTACACAGTATCTAATCAATATAAAAAAAAATATTTCGAAGTATCGCAGATAACCAGATAACGTACAAAAAGAGATTATGTTTCCGCGTACGACCCGGGTGTCTTCCAAGTACCACCAAGTTTATAAGTTGCTTATGAGTAGGCATGTTTTAGATATCGATGGTTGCATCATGGTTTGCTGCTACACTATGGTTAGATAGTGGAATAATGCCGAAATAAGAATTAAAAAAAATAGCTAGTATTGGTACTAAAATACTTTTAATGACATTATTTCAAATAGCCATACACCATTTGAAACTACTACAAGAACTTCATAGGCTCTGTGATCAATTCAAGTGTCCGTGACAGAGATAACCACAGATTAAGTCAGCCATTAACCCGAATCAAAGCAATTTTGATTAAGCTAATAGAAGCCGCTTGAGATTAGCTTCCAAAGCGCGATCAATGCAAATAATATTATTAGTTATCATGTTGATATTAATATTTTGTGGTGATATCTGTGCAATAACGAACTTGAACCTAAATGCAATTGGGTATTCTCCTTAATCAAAAATAAATATTCCGACTGTTCAATACAATAAATTATTAAAAAAAATATCACACTTTAAATAATTGATTTTATGAACAACTTAATTTTAGTATTGATTCAGTAAATTTTTAAGATATTAGTACGCTGTTTGACACTTAAAAAACGTGACGTCACAATACACAATCTCCTACAAAATTCATAGAAAACTGTCGTTTTTGACAGTTCGAAAAATGCAAGTATCCAATTTATTAATCATCACCATCAACCGCCTAATGTGCCCACTGCTGAGCAAAGTCTTTTTCCACAAGGATGATATTATATAATTATATCACAGTTTAATTAATTATATTTATTATCATCATCATATCAGGTACAAAGCGAACGCTGCTGAACATCAACCTGTATCTAACTACTTATTTTTTTACATTGCTACACACTAGAATTTTCTCCTTTGCAAAAGGGCCAATCTTGCACATGCTGAACTGGTCCCATTTCACGGCAGACTTGGTACATGTATCCATCAGTACCTACTAAAGAATAACACATCTGTACATGACATTATTTTTAGCGTGAAATAAAGTATTTTCTGTCTTTCTTTCTTTCTCATGTGTTGTGGCGCGTTTACCAACATAATAACATAGGATTTCACTTATGCATCATACCCAGATCTGGAACAACAATTCGTAGATCACATAAAGAATTATTCCATGCACAAATCATATTAGACCAATTTTGTGCAGTAGATTGTCGCTCTGAGATTTTACATTGTTAATCTTGATCATTGTTTTCTTACAAATATTGTCACATGTTTCTATTACAAAACATAACATCAAATTAATAAAGCAGTTCATAAGTATGGTAGAACGCAATAATTGTATTAAGATGATGACTAGCCATTACATAGTTAGGCACTCAGTCAATTGCCACTCAATCATGATAATATTCAATGCTACCGCTTTGTACATCAATTATACAATAATTAAGATAGATACGTACATTTGATGTAATATGCATACAATACTGTCTTTCATCAAACGGTACTTTTTTAAAAAAATGAAATGGTCATTGCTGAATTATGTACGCTACTTTTTGCTGTTATTATGTTTTGTTTAATAAAAGGAGGTAAACTAGCAGATAGGTCTGCTCATTATAAGTTATGCGTCGACAAGATAAAACATTTGGAGTTGCAAAAGCGTTTTGGGGGCTTTTTGTTTCAGACTTAGGTAACCTTCATTCTTGAATTAGCAAAAATATTTTTTTATAGCATAAGCCGGTAAACGAGCAGACGGATCACCTGATGGTAAGCAATCGGCGCCGCCCATGGACACCCAAAACAATAAAGCGTTACAAGTCCGTTACCGGCCTTTTAGGAATTGGGAATTTGAGGATTGGGCCTCCGGTAACCTCACTCACACGACGAAACACAACGCAAGCGTTGTTGCACGTCGGTTTTCTGTAAGGCCGTGGTATCACTCCGGTCGAGCCGGCCCATTCATGTTGAACCATAGCTCTCCCACACTTAAACTTATCATGTAAGAACCACACAAAAAATATCTAACAACAGATTAATAAAAATCAACAATACGTGTTACAAAATTAAAAGTAAAACAGTACCTACATAATCGTGGCCGCGTCGCCTACATCTGGTAGAAGTTGTTTCAATATTTGATTACGCGGTCACCGGCCGCCGTTATCACTTCCCGATGTGAAATAATTTGCTAAGGCACTCGTTTTGTTGTGATATCGTACTTTTAATTAATTAAACGGCATTTAGACTATCAAAGAGTTTTTTGGTTTCTTGATATAAGTTCTCTTATTTTTAGTTAGAGGTGTACTAGATATGGGACTGGTTTATTTATAGGACCGAGTGTTCCTTTATATATGGTTATGGTACCCTTTGTGGTTTCGTGAAATATATATATTACATTTCCTAGTTTTTCTTCTCAAAATCGATATCGATATTTAATCAACCAGCACGCATATTTTAATTAAAGTAACTTTATTTAGGTACCTAGGTGTAAAAATTTGCCAGCTGAGTAAATATTGTCAATACAATAAATTACCAACATAAAAGAATACTCCTTGCTGTTTATTTAGGTACCTATACCTAACTATAAAAACCACGTCAAGATTCAAGTTAATACGAATTGTAGAAAAGTTCAAATACCTCTGTAGATATTCGAATTACCCGTCAAACATGATACGAATACGCGTACACACATATCTAATTAAGGACCAATTCAATTATTTAATTGGTTAAAAATCGTTATCCCGGCGCTCGGAATAACACAATTTATTTTTAGTATTTTTTGCGAGGCTAAACCGGATTTTAAATGTGAAGTCTTGATTATTTTTACATCTCAATTGTTTACATATACAGAGAGTAGAGTTAGCGAAACATTGTCTAGATAGGTAGGTCTGCTAAAATATATTGGAAAGAGATTAGGCAAACCGTATAGGTAGGTAGACTATTTTCAGACAAGCTAGACGAATTAATGAAAAGTTAAAGAGTACCCATTAATTTTCGACGTTAGTAACTACTTTATCTCAAGTAACTAGGTGTCTATGATAGCTAATAGTATGTTCAAACAAACCTACTTTTTTCGTCTAATCTTGGGTTTAACAAATATGTACCTAGAAGGGAATGTCATGAAAATCTTACAACATACATATTTTGGTAAATGATTTTTATTATACAGTTTCATTTCGTGTGAAAAGATTTAAATGTTTCTTTAAGATGTTTCTAGATATATTTTTTTTTTATAATTCGAGTTACTATACAAAATGTTATTACTTGTTTAGACTGGATGAGGTTCGGATGTAGGAAAAATTGAATCGTTCAATAGTCGAATAACCCGAGTACAATTTGATTAGTATGGCCCCGGAACAACACGGTCTGCTATACAAGAAATCGGACATTGGAACTAGCCAATAAGTGATATTACCCAAATATATGACAACATTAACCTGATTTGTAATAGTTGTGGACAATTGGCATGTAATCAAATACCAATACAATTCGACGTAATAACAATTAGCGATCTAGACCACGACAGTACTTAATCAAATTATCGATATGAGCTGAACGTAATTGAATGAACCAAAAGCGTAACATTGAACTCTTAGGAATAACAATGTTAGATCAGTTATGTTAAATGGGGTATAGTTTAGTTGGTCGCCGGCAGACTGCGGCGCGCGCGCACTTCACTCGCTCCTCTAGTCGCGTTCGTTGTGCCTCGATCTCCGCTATCTCGAGTGTTGTAGTTGTTATCATTAAGCATCTATGTTGTGCGTATCTTATAAACTGCTGGACGTTTGAGGTAAGACCGACTTTATGTTTTTGTTAATTGAGACTGTTTCTGTAATTCGATTAAATTGCTCTATAAATTATGGTGAATACAAATATAATCATTTTGTTAATTTAATCTACTTTAATATTAAATTGCAAAGTAATGATGGGGTTAATCCAAGCTGTAATTGATTTACATTCGCAAAATATTTAATTATTTATTAATGTACTTTTCAGTCGATTTCAAATTAAATCAGTGTCAAGTTGAGACCTTAATTTGATGCTCTGAATACATTAGTCTATCGACAATCAGTTCAAAAGTTTCTAGTTCAGTTCTTGAATATTCTATCACTTTGTTAAAATAACAATCTTAATTATTTTGAGTATTACAGACAACTATCAAACGTAGTTGGTAAGTTGTAATAATGTTTTTAAGTTAGGAACAAAAAGCTGACTTTGATCTTTAGGTATAATAAAATTAATAAGTTTGTAAATCAATTAAAAGTTAATAGTAACGAAAATATTGTTGCTTTTCTTTGATAAAAATCGAAAGTCAACGAGAAATCAACACTAACTTAATACAAGACATTGTTAGAAAGGAATTAATTGAGATCAAAGATTATAATTTTTCACTCCTTATCAACAAAATTTTGTGCAAAAAATACTGTAATTAATTATCGCTTAAGCGCTTGCAAATGTCAGGCATCTGTGTACACATATGTTTAGACACAATAAAACACAAATTTTAAAACCAGTTATGTTAATTTTACGAAATCGGAAGAGATTATTTTACAAAAAAAAAATGCAAGCTATTAACTCGTTTGTATTGTAAACGTCAAAATAATTAAATGATTTCGCGGTATTACGATATGACAAGGACTCATAAATAAAAAAAACTGCATGAAGAGCTTTTATATAGAAGTTATTATCTGTGGTGTGTATGTACTGAAAGAAGGCTTGTTAATTTTGACGGTCAACTAGTCGTATTATCTGTGATTAAGTAGAACATATTCTCGTTGAATGAAGATGTAATGTGCTACATATGATGATCCACATTAATTGTTTTTTCTGATAACGTTGACACCGACTTTTGATACATTAAACTATATAGGGACATTGCAATAATAATGTCTGATTTTTTGTTATACTAGTGAGATTTTATTAACAATATTTCGACATACCAGATGGAGGTGGAATATCAAATTATTGTACGAGTTTAGAAATAGTTTTTTTTTTAAAGTGCATCTAATTTTATGAAAAGAGAGAAAAAGTATGTCGAAAATATGCTATTAATATTTAAGCACATTGTTGGTTTTCCTTTATAGTTTCGGTACAGTTATGTTAAGTAACTATAACGTATTTGATAAAAAAAATAAACACTATAACAACATGAACATTTTCTACACACTTTTATGTTTAAAGATAATTAACAATAAGAATTAAAACTTTTTTAACTTCTGTTTCATGGTCAAGATTGTACAAAGTAAGCAATTTTTTTAGGATATTATGAATATTTTTATTACAACATTTTTAAGATTTTCACCTGAAGGCATCCATTAAACGTTAGGTAATTGTTGTTAAAGATAATAAGGGCGCCTATAACGCTAGAATTCTTGGAATTTACATTAATTTCCAGTGGTATTTAGCTTGAAATTCTAAAGTGTTTAATGTCTACAATTCTGAAGAAATAGGTGCCTCATTTTAGCGGATTTATAGCAACTTAAAGAAAGTACTGTGATTAAAAGGATTCGCGATTTATTGAAGATTTTACTCTACCATAAAGAAAATAGTGTAGTGTAAAATGTTTTCCAGATTTAACTGTTTCTTGTTTACACAATTTAGGGTAGCATCAAATAAAAAATGAGAAAATTCTTTTATGGCATCGGTCATTTTGAAAGACAGAGCGTTTAAGAATTTTGTTTTATAATTATTTTTATGGAAAACAAAATTAATTGGAAGATCAAAAGTGTGACAGACAGTGAAATTCTTGGATTTGGTCTAGGTACTTCATCAAGTACCTTTCTTCTTTCTCAATTTTGAAAGGAATTCGCACTGTCAAATTGTTGCCACGGTCTAGTGGACCCCACCCTGCCTGGTAAGGGTTAAACAAATTCAAACAATTAATTTATTAAAAAAGCAAAATGGTTTAAATAAATGAAGAAAATTGCGAGACAGATGGCAAAACACAAACAATTTCCTTTTGATTTTAAAATTAAATTATTCTGAATGACCCTTTCATAAAACGCAATACGACTTTTGTACAGTTTAACAGCGAAATACCCGGTATTTTATCTGGAAGAAAAGAATAAAATTTTTATATTTTGGTAGAGATTTTTTACCGAAACCGCCACTAGTAACAGTTGTTGGTTTCTGTGGTAGGGGCAACAATTAAGTAACATAGAAATACTAATTTCCTGTGTGCCTGGATTGGTTTATTTTATATGTATTTCATTTCTTTGCTTTATATTCATTTTAAAACTCTTCTTCTTCATTAGGATAATAAAAGGCGTGAGGTTATGTATGAACGAACCCATAAACCACGAACCTATAACATACAATAGTCATACAATAGTAACATGTAGGTAAACTTATACCTCTAGATAAAAATGTAATATATATCGAAAGTACTTTAAAGAATCAACAAATAATAGGTATAAAGAATACTCCGTAGCCCATTTGTTTTTCCTGAAACTCTTAGCATGTTTAGTTTTAAATAATTCCTTCAATTTTTTCGTTAGACATGACGTAAACAAAACGTTGCGAATCTAATTGATCAATGGATTGGGCCGTGAAAATGGACGCTGATGTGAAATTAATTATTGTATAAAATGTTATCAGCACTCCTCCAAAATTTCGGTCAGCCGGCTGTTGCCAATGGTTTTTTGTGATACCAGAATAAAAACTTGTTTATTTTAGTACACTTTACACTCATCTGTCAAAACATAAGTTGATTGCACTTAAATCATAAATTAATTGTTTTCTAAAACGTAGTGTATTATGAAAGTACATTTTCGAACCCAAATATTTGAGTTCTAGTGAACATGCACTTTTATCGTTCTATCACCATCATTCATATATTTTACGAGACATAACTTTATACACAGGATGATAAAAATAGATTGTAGTATACATTAGTAGCCTTAAACTTGATTAGTTTTTGCATCAAATGTTAGTGTTACGTAAATATTAGAACATACAAGTGTGAGTCATCTAGTCTTGTTATATTTTTAGTAGAGAGCCCGGAAGATAGAATTCGTGTTACGGAATTATTTTCCCGATGTTTTTTCTTTACATTTGGTTGAATGTTAATATTTAATGGAAATGACAGTTTGTCCTCGCACAAGTCAGAGTTGTTATACGACACGACATTAAGATTTTAGTTGAATTACTTCCTTTTGATAACACGGTTAATAAAAATTTATATTTCTGGAGAAAATGGCGCATCTATACTAAGAGCCTTGAAAGTAAATTAAATATGATATCTATGTTATTGACTTGCGATATATCATAACCTTCGTGGAATAATTAACAATTTGTAACAATAGAATAGTGCACTACCATTATTATTAAACTATTGCTCTAGACTTAATATTTGTTAAGATGAAAATAGCCTTTTACAAGCGATACTGTAAAAATGTTCAAATTAAAATCCTGATTCTTTTTCCACACAAATGTCCAAAGCAAACTTGTGTTAAAAAGTCAGTGAATTCAAATTTCGTTCAGCAGCTGTAGTATAAGCAATTATTCCAACAGCTTACAGACGTTTTAAATGTTCGAAAACTATCCACGAAGTTTTAATATTGTTCATGAAGATCACAGTTTAAGGTTTTAGTACTTGTGCATTTTCATAATTTGAACGTTGCATTTCTCGCGTAAACTTTGAACTTGGTAGAAACTTGGCTCAAAGATTTTGTACTTGTGAAGTCTGAAAACTCTGGGATACTTGTAATTTGATCTTTTTGTGCTAAGTTAAAAGGTTCTACTTGAACTGTGTGGGATCAATGATAATTATTGTTTGTTATTAGTGTAGTCTATACCTATTTGAACTAAAATAAATTACAGTTGCAGAAGCGACTACGACCGCTGAATACGCAGCGATTTATCAGGTTGATATTTGTTTGTATACTTGATATAGAACAAGGTATTTTTCTGTTAAATGACACATTTTTTTAACGGGACATGCCCGCCACATCCTCTCTAAACCGCTGCAACTCCTGTAAGTCAGGATCTATAGTAGATACGACCATGAATCACTGAGGTCCGGCGCGTTTCAGGGACAGGAATAACTGTCTTGATTCCCGCAACGAGAGTGAGAAGATATGTATTATCAGTTTCCACTTCCCTCGGTGAATTATTGCAGGAGACAGAGTTAAATAAGCCTTTATGCACAAAAAAGAGACTGTATAAGTGGGAGAAGCCCAGCCGCCAAGCACCACGGATATTTAACTAAAAACTAAATGGGTCCTATGTGTGAGCTGTCGTACACATTTACCTTCACCTTTGAGAGCACATGAGATTGAGGGCGTCTCGAGTATTTTAATTTTGTTTTAACTTTCATACTCGGTCTCCCTAAAACCCAACGATATGCAGATATATACAAGATCGTTTAGTTACATAACTTTAGCCTGATCGGGCCACCGAAAATGTGGCGCATATGTATACTAAAAGGACTTTATAAACAGCAGCTCAAAAGGTAGCTGAACACTGGAGTGGCCAGTCTTTTAATAAAGCGCTCTATGAGCCAGGTCACACACACATCACAGGCCACAATGGATGTGTTACATATTACACTATGTGGTTCTTCAATAACTTCAAATATAATAAAGTTACGAAACTCGATCATATCAAGAAAATCTCCTCGAGGGAATTTTTCAGCTTTAGAAACCTCAATCTTTGCTGAAACCTAGCTTACAAATTGTCTAGGGAATGAAAAACTATAAAATATGAATGTGAATTTTATTCACAATTCAAGAAAAATATTTCGGCTACTGCTGAATTTACCTATAGCGTTTTACTTTCATCTATCTAGAA